ATATCAGTGAGTGCCAACATCTATATGGCGTTAAAAAAGTCTCTCAGGAATCCGCCCCACTGGGTCTCAAAGTTTCAATGTAATCCTTATGGAAGCAGTACTTGACACATAAACAAAGATATATGATCAGCTGTTGACTTTTAAATGCAGTAGATAAAGAAATAGCTGATAGCATTATTCCACAGATTAAGAACAGAATCGGTATGGATCATAAATCAAATGACGGCACTAGCTTGAGGTCCGTGACGTAGGAAGTGGTGAAGGAAGTAGTAAAGGTGAGCAGTATGGAGTGTGGAAGCTGTTTATGACGATTAGATTAAGGGATCTGCAATCCTAAAATGCTATGGGAAGAAAGGAAAACATGTCCGTGACGTAGAAAGTGGTGAAGAAAGTAGTCAAGGCGAGCTGTCCGGAGTGTGGAAACTGTTTATGACGATTAGATTAAGATATCTGCAATCCTAAAATGCTATGGAAAGGGAGGGAAACAGGTCCGTGACGTAGGAAGTAGTAAAGGCGAGCTGTTCCGGGTGTGGGATCTGTTTAGGACAATTAGATTTAGATATCTGCAATCCTAAATTGCTATGGAAAGGGAGGGAAACAGGTCAAAGACGTAGGAAGTAGTAAAGTATGAGAATAGTGAGAGAACCATTAATAGCAGTTATATTAATGTATCTGCAATGATGAAATGCCATGAGAAGGGATGGACGCATGCGTACGACATAGGAAATGGTGAAAGAAACAGTAAAGGCTGGCAGTGCATAGTGGGGAAACCGCTTGGGCAGTTAGATAAACGTATCTGTAATACTTAAATGCTATATGAGAAGGGAAGAAAACAGGTCTATGACGTAGGAAATGGTGAAGGAAGTAGTAAGGCTAGCAATGCAAATTGTGGGAACAGTCTTTGGCAATTACATTAATGTATCTGCAATCCTAAAATGCTATGGGAAGAGAGAAAAATAGGTCCACGACGTAGGGGGTGGGGTGGTTGAAGGAAGTAGTAAATGTGAGCAGTGTTGAGTGTGGGAATGGATTATGTATCTGCAATGCTAAAATGCTATGGGAAGAGACTGTAGACTGTAGGTTGAAATGATTACGAAGCGCGAATCGATACATATTTTAGATACATGCAATCGTTTACAATCGAAATTTACAACCGAGTTGACAACAGATGATTTTTACTCCATAGCAGTGTTGCCGTTTTGCGCGTAATTACGCTTTTTGCGCGGATTTTGGGGGGCTGCGCGGATTTTTGTGCGGATTAGGCTTGTGAGCGGATTTTGCGCGGATTTCGTCCAATTGTAAAGTATTTTAAAATATATGGGAATTTCAACGGCAAATCGGGACACTTTGTACTTTGTGACTCAAGATGAGCACTTTATGAGTATATGAACTAAGGATTATAGTGCATTCAAGAATGATCGATGATCTTTTTTGTGTACATTTATTGTTCTCTTCACTCACTTTAATTCTACGTAATACCATAGACTAACCAATGTTTTATCTATGGTAATACGTCCTTAGGTTGTCACTTCTAGAGATTTAATCGTTTTCTAGGGATATTTTACTACCCGTTCTAGTGATTTTCCTCTAGACGTTGGTTTGTGGCAACACTGCTAACCTAACAAAACAGGCAAACAAAGAAACAAAACAAAGTAATGAAATGAAATGATTTCAAAGTACCAACCAACAGAAACAAAACGAACTAACCAACTTTATAATATTTGATACTATTACAATTCATGTATTAGGTTAGTTTTGAAAACAATAATTGACATACAATAATGCACTTTTATTCTCAAAGGTAACATCGTCCATCAGGCTAAGGCTAGTTTGAAAACAAAAAGTACCTATTTTTGTGGGTTTGTGTACATTGTTTTCCAATTTCGTTTGTTTGTATGGCTCACAAATAAGAGAAAACCAACAACTAATGCCTTAATTTAACTCTAACCCCATATTTTAGGAGAATATTGCATTTTATTGATTTCTAAAAACTTTTAACTGCTATAGGTAAAGTTTGTTCAGAACAATGAGTTTAGTTTAATTGAATAATGTAATTTTTAAATTTTCGTATTAATAATAGCATTATATTTTTTCACGGAATATTTTTTTTTGTATCTTTTCAATCAATATTGAAAGCACACATACGGCAAGTGTAAACCTCCTGTAAAATATTTTTAGTGTTACATTTCGTTACAGGCACTGAGCTAAAATTATAACTGGAGGTAGCACTGCCATGGCAGAAGTCTGTGGAAAGCGTGTCGCTGATTTTGTTAGGTTGGTATAGCAGTGAGTTTTTTTAACCAATAACATGGCTTCTATAACTAGGCTGGTATAGCAGTGAGTTTTTTTAACCAATTACATGGCTTCTTTATAACTCACACCTCACGCAAACATGGCGGCTGGCGACACGCATCTTTGACATTCAGTGCTACCTCCAGTTATAATTTTAGCTCAGTGGTTACAGGTGAAAAAATTAATGGAAAACTTGTTTTCTAGAACTATATTATTAGACTCAGGTTAATTTACAGAGTGCGCGGATTGTGCACGTATTTTTAACGTATTGTGCGCGGATTAGAGAGGAAAAAGCGGGATTTTTATGCTTGTGAGGACGGATTTCTTCCGAAGCTGTGTGGCAACACTGCTCCATAGAGGCTAAAAACTATTTTTACTCCCTAAAGAGTAAACACGCTACTTTAGACCCGCAATGCATGCATTAAAAACGACTGTTTTTTTACTGCAGTATGACAAAAACAATATAATATGAACCCTTGATGACTAACGTCTGGCCTGGCGGTAAAGAGAACCAGCAGCCAACAGAGGTGGGGGTAGGAGCCTTCCCCTCATTCGCCTGTTTCCCCCCCTTTGTCCAAGTCTATCTACTCGACTCGTCTCATCTGCTTGTCAGCTTGTCTTGTCTATTAAGACAAGAATTCACACAAGACAATTGTTAGGCTATTAAGCCTATTTTGGGATAAATTATAGATATTTATAAGAAACTAGTGTGAAAACTAGTAGGAGCATGAAATCTTACAGAATACTTTGAGATACAAATCAAATTAACCTATTGTAACTTATTTTTATTTTAGCGAAATTCCCATATATAGGGACTAAGCTATTACCGTAGTACTTATGTTCAGACATGGACCTGGGACCGATATAATATTTTTTTGCGATTACTCGAGAAAAAAAATGATCAGATTTTAATGAAATTTGGTACAAACGTGAAAACCTACGTTTATTTCAACGAGTTCGCCAACCAGCATAATCAGACCATGGGAACAGGGGTTAATAGGGGGGTTTATGGGGTAAAAATGGGGTTTTCCCATTTTTGACCCTAAAACAAAAAATTTTGCAATTTCTTTTTAAAGTGTTTTGTAGGGCTTAAAAAAAGAAATAATTTAGTAGGTATATTGAAGCGCTGGTGTATGCCTAACGGTTACGAATAAAATTTAAAAAAAAGTGTAATTTAAAATTTTCATGTTATTCTTATGGAGAAAATGAAAATGGTTGTAGTTTACTTGTATACGGATGTTGATAAAATTTGGCAAATTTACTTTATTTCATCCTATACTATTGATGAACACTTTTTACCTTCCTTGTAGCAGCAAACCTAAGCACTCGTCTAATAAATCTAATGTTTTTTTAAATTGGAAATAAATATGATTTATTTATGGAAGTATTTTAGTAAAAATTAATCAGACAAGTTGAAATATGCTTAGTACGCCGGTTTGCTACGGCGGGGGTATTTTTATTACAGGCGGATTCTTTTGCGCTTTAAAAAGCACGTGCAGTTGTGTTTGCACGGTTTTCCTTCCCTTGGAATACAGTAGAACCTCTTTAATCCGAACGTTCACTAATCCGAACACCTCATTGGTGTACTCTATAGGCCTACACAGTGCAGTAGTTCTATATTGTATAGGCTATTTAATGTTCAGTTCTGTTTATTCACTGTCTTTACTGTATTAAATAAACACTGTATTTTACTTTATAAAGCATTTTTTATCTTTTCCCATAGCAATTACGATCCATTTTAGCCTTGTTTTAGCTATTGTTATTTAAAAACAACAGTATGTTCTGTAATCCTAACTATTCAATAGTCCGAACCACCCGCGGTCCCAGTTAGTTCGGATTAAAGAGGTTCTACTGTACTTAGTAATTAAATTGTATTTATTGACGTGCCCATTGAATTTGAAAGATGCCTAAGGAAAGAAAATTACTCATTCTCATTAAGTTAGGCAGTGATTCTTGGCTGAAGGAAAGAAAACTTTTGCATTTGTTTTCAAAATCCAAGCCTATTCTTTCATAATAGTTACATTCCCAGATAGCAAAAGGTACTTGATTAAAGCTTGAAATAAGTTTGATTGTCAAATCTACAAACTTGAATCAAGTTTGCTCGGATGGGTTCGTAAACTCATGCGTCAATGTTCCCGCTCTTCCAGTTTGAATAAAACTCGAATCATCTAATTTTAATAAAACTTGAAATATCTAATTTGAATAAAAATTGAAACATAAAACTTAAAAAGTCCAAGAATTTAATCTTTTTTAGCCACTTACAAGCTCTTTTTTATTTCTGTAAATTCAATTCATACGCTTTTACCAGGATTCACTTATCCAAGTAAAGCATATGACACTCAAGGCTTGTTAAATTTTTTTATTTAAAAGTATAAAATGTTGCACTTGCAAAGATATCTTGATATATATGTAATAAAAATTTCAAATTTTTTTAGGTTGAGATGCATAGCACATATAATCTTCCAATATTTCAGATAATTTTTCACAATCACAGCATAATCTAATAACTTCAATACCTCTAGTTGTTAAATGCCAAGACACTTCTCTAAATAAAAAAAGCGAGATACCATCTAAAAACTTATTTTTATAAAAGAGCAGGAAAAGATGAGTAGATCATAGTTTTCAACCATACAATTTTACCTATTATTACTATTCAGTAACTATGTGGAATTCCAAATTCTTTGAAATTAAAAATAAAACACAAGAGGTAATTTGCCTAAATAGATTTATATTAAAGATTTACATAGGTAACACATTTACATTTGAAAATGCCACGTCTCTTCCCCATTTTCTACAGTGGCAGGTTTTTCCATCTGAAAAAAGTCAAAACAAATAGAATCAATATTAAATTTAAGAATAATTAACCAAAATGATAGATTTTGTATCTGGCATAAAAAAAAAAAAATAGGCAAGTAAGCAAAATTTAAACTAACGCAGTTTAACTCACAACCAGTGTAGGCCTGTTTAATGAAAATTAATTTATTCCTACAATGATATACAAATACTGTACAATAATATGATCTTCCCACAATATGTATAAAACACAATTACATTATTTAGGCGTTGCGGCAGTATCACTTCGGTAAAATCCGTAGGTGAATCTGCAGGATTTCATATTTTTAATAAAAATAGTGCCACCCCTACAGTGCCTATCTTAACCGCTTCTGGTTAAAAATAATCCAGCTGTAGGCCGATGTGTACAACTTTTTAGTCCTTAGAAGGACTTTATTACATAACTGTGTCTAAACTCAAGCCTAGACCTATGTTATTTTAGTTATAAAATATGTATGTTAAAACTCCCAGTCAAAGCTCCCAGCTACAGTTCTGAAAACCTACAAAAGGCCTATGTTATATCATCAGATGCAACTTTTATTCGATAATTTAACTAAGGTAACTTAAAAAAATATTAAGTTAAGTTTAAGTTAGGCCTAAGTTACGATTACGTTATTTGTCCATAAAATACTTTAAAAAAAGTAGAGTTATAACTTTTTAAGTTTAACTCAGATTAAAATATTTTAATTGAAGTAAACTTAGGCCTATACTATTATGTTGAACTTAGGCCAGAGTTTCTCAAAGTGTGGTCCGCAAACCCATAGGGGTCCGCAAGCATTTTTTTGTGGGGTCCACAAAAACATTTTAACCAAATTTATTTTTATATATTATTGTATATTATATTAGCCTATATTGCTATAGGCTAAAAAATTAAAATTTGAACGAATGGGGATTTACCTCTAAGTCCTTCATTCATGAGAGCCTTCCTCATTTATCAGCCTAGAAACTTCTTAACCTACAGCATCTTTGGTTGATAATAGTTGCAAAGCAAGAGCATTCCGTTCTTCAGTTGAAATTTTGTGAATTTTTTTTGCCATAGTCCTTTTTTTGGCTCGAAAAAACTTTCTTTGTTGTTCAAATTTTTCATTGCCATTAGGCAGCACACCCTTTACCTGCAACAAATAGGCAAAGGATTTATCAGACTCATAAATACTTATACAGTTGCTAAGTAATGGTGTAAGAAAACCATGTAGCGGATCCTTCTACTATACATAGAAGTCTAGTTTTCTTTCCGGAAACTATCTGTACGCTCTTAACAAAACAGCTGATTGTTAAAGTAGTTGTGTTCGTACTTAAAAATAACCTAATCGGCAAACTGGTTTCGTGGTGTAAATATAGTAACTAATCTACTAACTGAACTCAAATCATCTGATATTAACACCATCTGTAGGAAATATGAATCTAGTTACTAGCTGTCATTCTAGTGATGGGATAACCGAATGGTTTCCATGACCGAATAATCAATCAGTTATTTTTTGCGTCAATCGGTTATTTTTAGTCGAATGAATCACCGAATCAATTTTAGTCATTACTCACTGTCACAAACCACAACTAATTTTCAGCTTATGGGAAACTGAATGGCATTTAGTCGTTTAGCGTCAGTCGGTGATTTTTAGTCGTACGAATCGCCGAATAAATTTTAGTTACCTGATGATGTGACAAACTAAATCAACTAAATAACTAAATAACCGAATCGCTCGGTAAGACTAATTTAACCGAACCAGGATAAAATCACCGAATTAGTCTATTCAGCATCAATAACCGATTGATTCGGTTATTTTCATTCGGTGATTCCCACCACTATGTCATTCATTATTTTAGAGGGTTGAGGTAACAACATTAATAACTTCATTTGCTTCAACAAGACATAGTATAATTATTGAAACATATGGTATAACTTAAGCAGCTGATTTAATTTACTAGACACTGAAGCGTATAACTTCCACTTTGTTGATTAAAATTCGCTGTTCATAAAATCTTTAACAATGTAAAAGGCATTTTCTGTTAAAAGCTCTTCAGTAATTTTTTAAATTTATTATTATTTTCCTCTGATTTTGATGTTGTTTGGTAGTTTATTAAAATTTACAAGATTACCAATGATTAAACGAACATAATTTTTTGTTAACAGCTTGAAACTTTTACTTAAACAGGTATCTAATAAAACATATGGACCTACCTGTAAAGTTGAAGTATGGATAGATTGCTCATTCATAGCTTCTATATTTGTCTTGATTCTTGTAATTTCTCTTTCAAAATAAGAGGCCACATCTAGACTTGTAACGTTGTGTGTAATTGTAGCTATATCTTCCATTGCTTTTGCAATTTTCTTTTCAATTGCCAAGTTTTTATCTGTAGGTCTGCTCACTTCATTCAATAATTCCAACTGATTTTCATCGTTTTCAAGGTCACGGTGAATTGACCCTTCATTTTTGGTTCCATCACACCTCATATAGTTGTGTTCTTCTTGAACCCGATGGACCATTGTTGCCACTGCATGTATGTGTTTACACATATTATTCCTAATTGCACTTTCAATGCAGTTACAAACAAATTCATGAAAACATGAATTGCAACTAAAACACTGTAACTGACAGGTTTTACATTGCCTTACACGTTTAACTGTATAAAACTCTGTTTGTGTCGAAGAAGTTACCAGCCATTTATTTTCATTCACCATTATCTGATTATTTCCAACAGTTAAACTTCTTTTGTGACATTTCCGTAGGGTTTGAAGTTTCCTCACCAGCTTTCCTCTAAGCATTTTAATAAGAAGATCAAATATTTTGTCTCTCATCAAGTTCAATATCGCACAAAGTGTCTTGTCCAACCGTCTTACCTTTTTCCCTTTCAGGTAACAATACTTCAACACCCTGTTGAAACTTTCCAGAGACATATTAGTGTTTATACCAGCATGTACTCTATAACAATATGCCCATGATTTGTACTGTCCAACTGATAAATAATTTTTGCTGAAATATTCCAAGAAATCATGAAAAACATCGTCAGCTTTCAGTGTAGATAGGAATCCCTCCAGAAGTCTGTGAAACGTGTCAATGTCTAGTTCGTACATTAAAGTTTGTAATATTTTCTGAACATATTCACGTTTTTCCTTTGTTTTGATGGCCTCTCCTAATTTTCTTCTCCAAGCTTTCAAGACGTGCCATGAACAATAAAGTCTATTTTCTACTTGTCCCATTACTTGGTTCCAGGATGAATAAAAGGTTGCATCCATGTCCGACATGAAGACTTTTGGTTTTATAACCCCTGCAGTTGATTTTATGCAGTCAAAAAATATCTTCATTACTGATATGTCGGCTTTGTTGCTGAACATGAAAGCTGAAGGGAATCCTTCCCTCGTTTCATCTAGAGTTAATAATGTAAACAGTTGGAAATCATATGTGTTTAAACCATGTGTTCCATCTATACAAATGGTATCAGCTCCAAATTTTTGCAACATGGCTTTCTGAGCATTCGTGATAAATATCAGCAAAAAATCATTTTCTTGAAGATCAGGATATTGAGGGTCCTTTACACCCTGAGGTTTAAAACTAACATGTGCTATAGTGGTTGAGTTTTTCATTTCTTTCACCCAAGATGAAATACTCACCGGATCGAATGGGTGTTTCACTGATTCATGGTGTAAATTGAAACTCTTTTCAATATTTACTATATCTTTTTTATTTGTTAAGTGTATCCTTTGCAGTTGATAATTGCTAATTGATTCTCTGATGTTTTTTAGGATTTCCTCGTGTGGCTTTTTATCGGCCAACTGAAGCGCTATGAGCCGCCTCTCTTCACTCGAAAGTTTTTTATGTTTTATTTCGTTTTTGTGGCCAACATGTGTTACAACATGAGTAACATGAAGAGTGTCATTTTTTATCTTCACTGTTAAGTTTGCAGGGCAGTAACCATTAATTTTGCATGTCCCTGATATTTTTATGTGACGTTTACCTCGACCTTCTGAATTATAAAAACCACATCTATGGCACTGATAATATAAATAGTTTTCTTTAGACGATCTTTTTCTGTAAGTAGACACACTTGTTTTTTCCATTTCACATTTCCAAGAAATGAATTCTTCTCTTGATTTGAAAACATGGTGTTCTTTTCTTAGGGGAATGTCATGATTTTTTTCGAAATGACGATGGATGTCATTTGTTCTTTGCCTTGCAGTGTAAGGGCAAAGAGGGCATTTCCATTTTCTACCAAAGTTGTGGTGATGTTTTCGTACATGCAATTTCAGAGATCTCTCCTCTGCAAAAGCTGCAATACAATTAGGCCTAGAACATTTGAACCTGCCCTCAAGAGAAGCCTGTTCCCAATATTTCCCTTTAGAAATAGTATTTCCTTGAGGGAAATGAATTGCATTCATGTGATTTTGTAGGTCTCCCTTATCTGCAAATTGCTTGTCACACAATACACATGAACATTTCTCCGATTCGAGTTTACAATCATCTTTCAAGTCTATTTTGTGAACCGTCAAAATGTGGCGAGTATAATTAAATTTAGAACTAAACACTTTAACGCAATGCTGACACTCCAATTTCTCAGAGTCAAGGAGTACTTCACCATTCAAGTTCCTCTTATGTACTGCCTTAATATGTTTGTTGCAATTGCTTTTGTCTGAAAAAACTTTGTTGCAATATTGACACGTAGGCCTAATCTTCTTCGCTTGAGAATTCCCGCTGGATTCACCACTATCACAAATTTTGTGAACATTTCTTGTGTGTCGACTACGACTACCTCTATTTCCATAACTTTTATCACAGTACAGACACTTGTACGCCTTCATCTGAAAAAGAATAAGAAAAATGATGTTAGGCTATTTGTTTGAAAAAAAAAAAACATTTAGTCAATGTATCATTTCCCGAAATAGCGCATTATATCCTTTGATGACTCAATAGGCCTATGATGTGACTTTACACTAAATAACTCAGCCTAACATAATATACCATAATTAATCTAACCTTACAAAGTGCAACCTAAGGGAGTAAGTAACTTATGTTGGTAATTCTGAGCCAAGTATGGGTCATCTTCAATTTTTTCACGTTACCGTTGATTGTTCTGCTGGTTAGTAGTGACTGAGAAATGCAAGCATTTTTTGCTGGAAAGTAAGGATTCTTAGCAGGCGACTATTTGAAGGTTAAAGGGTGTTCCACGTTAAATTTGTTAGCAGCCGCTATTCATAAGTTAGGTTTGGTTAGTTTAGGCACATATAGCATTATATATAGGGCACATATAGCTATTTATAGGGCCTACCCCAAATCTCTATGCCTGAAACATAAAATGACTGACTAAACTAACCTAACCTCCGAATACTTGCTTTCCGGCAAGACATTTTTGTAATTTCCCGTTACTCTTAGGTTAGGTTAGGCGCACATGTAGCAGTATTTAAAACCCAAATATTTTTACTGGAAACCTAAAATAACTGACTAAACTAAACTAACCTAACCTGATCGGTACTTTGGTATTATCCGGAGGCCACCCTTATACAGCACGCTGCGGTTGGGTTCAAATAAATTTACGGAAAGTAAATAAAAGAAACGTCTTATAACACTTAAAACATATATTTACGCTTATACTGTTACTCACAAGACGGTAAATATACAAAAAAGATGGTAAGTGGTGATCGATTTTGATTGGACATAGGCCTATGTCCAATGTTCGCCAATAGGCGAGCATTCGCCTATTGGGTCTGATGATGATTGGAGTGTCCAATCGAAATCGATCACCACTTACCATCTTTTTTGTATATTTACCGTCTTGTGAGTAACAGTATAAGCGTAAATATATGTTTTAAGTGTTATAAGACGTTTCTTTTATTTACTTTCCGTAAATATAATAACACGTACAATGCCGATCAAGAAGTTATTCAAATAAATATAGTTTCATTATGAGTCGAACAGTACCAGATGAGTCATACTTTCACCCGCCAAATCCACTACAAGTAGGCTAAGGTCAGGGTGTTGACCAGACCTGTCACCACGCTCGTTCAGTGTCCTGAGTAAGTTAATGACTGGTATCGTTAGATTTATAAAGAAACAAGGAAAGTCTTACAAACATAGGCCTATTTATGATACCCAACCTAACATAAGTTAACCCCCGCAGCATGCTGCCCCTACTTGGTGGAGTACATGTGACAGCTAAATAACGGCGGCGATGCATTCAACTCAGTCCTTGCCAACATCGCTGCCTTCTGGGAGGCAGAACTCAAGGGCCACTAGCCGTAATCATGTCAAATTCGGTTAGTAAGTCAATTAAAGTATGTTCTTTTTAATTAGGTCTAAGTTAAATTTAAGTTAAGTTACTATAGTTAGTTTATTTTGGTCATGTATGTAAAACCGCCAATAAACCAACATTAAGCTATGACGGGGTACACTTCCATCTGTTGGCACAAACAACCGAATGAGTAATATCGATTGATATATCGATTATTCGATATACTTATCATTTGGTTAGTTAGGTAAGGTTAACCTAACCTAACTAACCAAACCATATATCGAATTAACTTAAACAATTGAATAATCAATATTCAGTTGCATTCGGTTGTTTTTGCCAACAGATATGGAAGTGTACCCCTATGACGTTAGATCAGTAGATCAAGAAGGAAATAAGCTAGACAAGAATGTCTCTAAGTATAAGTTAATTATGGTAAAATAAAAGGTGAACATTAATAGAAAAATATTTCTTGCTGGTAGGGCCTAAGTACCTGATTTAAAATAAAAATGTACCATCGGTATACTTACTTCCATGATTTAACTGTAATCACAAACTACAAGAACTTTTTGTTTTACAGCCACTTATCTACCTACATATTAAGGACACTCAAAATATTAAATTTAATCGTAGACACTGTAATAGCTTTAAAGAAAATAAGTATAGAATAATACGATACCATTATAATACTCACATCACATCACATTCCTTGACAAAAGTCGAACGAACAAGTTATGAAGTTATGATGCATAAACAAACAATAACAACGCCGTCTAGCTAGGGCATCAAGCAGAAAGCCAAAGCAAATAATGAAGCAGATAAATGAGGGGAAGGCTCCTACCCCCACCTCTGTTGGCTGCTGGTTCTCTGTACCGCCAGGCCAGACGCTAGTCCCTTGATGACTCCGCTCAATTTTGTGGATGCCTCTGCAAACGCCACCTAGTAATTGAGATGTATGTTAACTTTGGTGATACGTGTATCGTTATAGCTCAGTGGACTGGACCAACCAGGACTGGGAGTCTGGGGGACCGGGACTGGACCAGGACCAGTTTATAATTGGTGGTTCAAGTTGAACCAGACAGAAACCAGATTGTCGAAGAATGTCATTGTCTTGTGATGTGTGAGTCGAGGCTAAAACCACGACCACGACCTGGCTGCAAGTGGACGTGTTCTGTTTCTGTTCACTACAGAGTGTTCAGTAGACTATGACTAGAGTAGAAAGAGAAGCTTTCGAAGAGACTATTATTGAGTATTGTCTTATATTAGCACTTAGCAGAGAGAACACCGACCAGCACCAGACATACAGAGACAAAGTTTCAACGTCAAGTCAAAATCAAAGTAGAGTAGAGAAGAGGAGGAGTAGAGTAATTGCAAATACCAAGTGCAACACAACACGGCATGTAACTTTATGTCTTCTTGAAACTTGAAGAAAGGGATTAGGAAACGTTGGGCTTAAAATATTAACATAGGTACGCTTAAGAATATTGAATATTTCTATACATTATACAATTATGTTATTACAGGTCAATATTTTTGTGGGTAATTTTGTTTTGGGATAATTTACAAACTGAGCTGACCATCTGTGTGTACTGTGTGAACTATTTATAGCAATGAGTTCATTTTGTCTTGAGCTTACATGCTGCGCAAGTGAATGAAGTTATTCCTTTCAAGTTAACCGATTTTATACTCCACCTGAAGTTTAACTTCATCTCCCGAGGCCTAGGCTACCTTGAACATTCAAATTCTTATTATTTTCTTCATTTGGGTAAGTATGATTAGACCTAACTTAAATGTAGGCTATGGTAGATTAAAGGCCTGTGCTATTGTGACTAGGCCTAGCCATAGGAGGATTAAACATTAAGGAGAGGACACGCTCGAGTTTTGTTGAAGCCAGCCAGCCGACCGCTCCCCGTATCGCGGGGGGAGGGGGGGCATTGTGTTTATACTAATAACATTTAACCAAACCAGCAACGAAACACATTTACCGATTAGGACAGCTATATGTAATGTCATAGGTAAGAAAATTCTATATCTAGTTACTGAAATACGGTAGCCTAGCAGTTATGTAGGCCTACTTAAAAGATTTATTTATAACTAAGTACATCATGTAAACAAAATTAAGAACTTAAAATAGAATCGCAATATTAGAAACCTAACCAACTTAGAGGACGACTCGTCCTATTCATGTAAGTTACGAATAAGTTAGTTAAATTAAAGATAAGTAACTTACTGTTTAAGCTATTAATATGTTTTTAAGCAAATATAACGGTTGATGGATGAATGTTTTATTTTATGGCCTGCTATTATTGTGATTGATTATGCTTAACTTATACCTATTATAATCAAATAAGGTACTCAAATCATAAAGTAATATGAGTACCGTATTTTAACAAATAACTTATTTGACGAAATCTATCCAGTCACTACTGGTCATCTATGGATACATGGTATAAAGGTATAACATATTTTTGCATACCGTAGCCTAACTTAAACAAAAATCTAAAAGGTTTTAAAACTGTTAAAAAAATTATTAGGGAAGTTAACTTACGCACTGTGGCATCAGAGGATGTGAGAACTGAAAGATTTCACTTTTTACTCAAAGTTTATTTGATATTTCTTAATATAAGCCCTCAAAATATGGCTTAGCATGATATAAAAAAACCAAAAACTTAATAGGGAAGAAAATGTTTTACTTTTTATATTTGTAATTTAATTTGAACACTGTGAGTGTAATAAAAGCGATCACCACTTTGAATTTTTTCTTGATTTCGGGTATTTCAAATTACTTGCCTGGTTTTTAGCACAAACATGTCTTAAAACTAACATTAAATGGGATTACAAATTTTAGAAAATAATTAGAAATGCTAATTATCAGCGTGAAACTGGCAATAGAACAGCAATAACCCATTCCACTTCTCCTACCGCCCCTCCGATGAATATACGTCACAGTAAAACGTCACAACAATGATGGCGTCACAGCAGGATTCGTCACAAAGCAGCTGACATAACCTCCAAAATATCAAGTGGCGGGAACTTTTTTTGGCGAAACACGGCAAAGATGGTGTTTGGCGGTACACGCACAGCGTTGATTATGAAGGTTGACTAATATGTATGTATAAAACTGTACAATACGCTGAATGAAATTAAACTACTATTTCATTATTTAGAGAATAAAGGACAATACTAAAGACGATTGAGGTTATTTAAAGTAGTAACCACCCTCAATTTTTTCCAAATGATAAAATTATTAACTGACTACCATAAAAACCTATTGCTGGCATCTCCCCTTAAGTTTTTCTCTCGTTTTTCTTTTGATACATGTTAAACACATGGTTATGAACAAAAAATGACGTATTCAAGGTTAGCCCACTCTTTACTAGTGTAGCTATGTAGCCTGGAATGCACTTCATGTGACCTTGATTGCACGACGACGCTATTACTAAAATTCATGTTTTATATGTCTATTTACATTATGTAGAGCATATTGCACAACACTAAGCACTTTTTAGCTAATTAAGTAGTTACTGCATCGATTTGAATCCAAATGAAAAATTACCTAAAATTACTATTTGACTACCATAAAAACCTATTGCTGGCAATTCCCCTTAAATTTTTCTTCAGTTTTTCTTTTGATACGCATTAAACACATGGTTATGAACAAAAAATTGCCTCTTCTAGGTTAGCCCACTCTTTAATGTAGCTATGTATCCTGGAATGCACTTCGTGTTACCTCGGTTGCACGCCGATGCTATTACAAAAATGTATGTTCTAAATGTCTATTTACATTATTTATCTGGTATTGAACAATACTGGGCACTTTTAAGCTTATTAATGTAGAAATCACCTTGATATTAATACAAACTAATAAACTACCTAAAATTACTAATTATCGTAAAAACCTATTGCTGGCATCTCCTCTTAAATTTTTTTCTCGTTTTTCTTTTGATATGTGTTAAACACATTGTTATGAACATAAAATGACGTAGTATAGGTTAGCCCACTTTTTAGTAGTGTAGCTATGCAGCCTGGAATGGACCTCATAATAGAATAATAAATTACCATAAATTTCTATTGCTGGCCTATCCCTTTGGCACGATTTTCTTTATTCTTTCAAAATATGTTTATTACATCATTACGAACTAGAAAACACGTCGCCTAGGTTCGTACACTCATTTATAGTTGAGATAGGTAACTTTGAATTAAACTGGTGTGACCTCGGTTCCATAAGAACCTAATTTACTAAAACTCAACTTTTTTCGTTTATACATGTTAGTTACACCTTTATAAACAATACCTAACACCATTTCGATAAAAAATATTATTATTTATCAATTTAATGCATTATTTAAAATCTGCCTCAATAGAACAATAAATTACCATAAATTTCTATTGCTGGCCTATCCCTTTGGCACGATTTTCTTTATTCTTTCAAAATATGTTTATTACATCATTACGAACTAGAAAACACGTCGCCTAGGTTAGCCCACTCCTTTATAGTTGAGATAGGCCATTTTGATTGTAGCTGGTGTGACCTCGATTCCATAAGAACCTAATTTACTAAAAATCAACTTTTTCGTTTATACATGTTAGTTACACCTTAATAAACAAACCCTAACACCATTTCGATAAAAAATATTATTATTTATCAATTTAATGCATTATTTAAAATCTGCCTCAATAGAACAATAAATACCATAAATTTCTATTGCTGGCCTATCCCTTTGGCACGATTTTCTTTATTCTTTCAAAATATGTTTATTACATCATTACGAACTAGAAAACATGTCGCTTATGTTAGCCCACTCCTTTATAGTTGAGATAGGCCATTTTGATTGTAGCTGGTGTGACCTCGGTTCCATAACGACCTAATTTACTAAAACTCAACTTTTTTCGTTTATGAACATAAACTCTATGAACATAAAATGACGTAGCCTAGGTTAGCCCACTCTTTAGTAGTGTTGCTATGTAGCCTGGAATTGACCTCATGTGGCCTCGGTTGCACGACGACGCTATTACACAACTTAATGTTTTATATGTCTTTTTACATTATTTAGCTGGTATTGAACAATAGTAGGCACCTTTTAGCTTATTGAAGAAGAAACTACCTCGATTTTAATCCAAAATTAAAAAATTACCTAAAATTACTAACTGGCTACCACAAAAACCTATTGCTGGCATTTCCTGTTAACTTTTTTTCTAATTTTTCTTTTGATATTTGTTAAACACATGGTTATGAACAAAAAATGACGTAGTATAGGTTAGCTCACTCTTTAGTAGTGTAGCTAAACAGCCTGGAATGGACTTCATGTGACCTCGGTTGCACGACGATGCTATTACTCAAATTTTTGTTTTATATGTCTATTTACATTATTTAGAGGGTAATGAACAATACTAAGCAGTTTTTAGCTAATTAAAGTGGTAACCACCCTGATTTTAACCTAAATTGAAAAATTAACTAAAATTACTAACTGATTACCATAAAAACCTATTGCTGGCATCTCCTCTTAAATTTTTTTCTCGTGTTTCTTTTGATATGTGTTAAACACATTGTTATGAACAACAAATGACGTAGCCTAGGTTAGCCCACTCCTTAGTAGTGTTGCTATACAGCCTGGAATGGACCTCATGTGACCTCGGTTGCACGACGACGCTATTACACAAATTAAAGTTTTATATGTATATTTACATTATTTAGATGGTATTGATCAATACAAGGCACTTTTAAGCTTATTAAAGTAGAAACCACCTTGATTGTAATCCTAATGAAAAAATACCTAAAATTACTAAATCTGACTACAATAAAAACCTATTGCTGGCATCTCCTCTTAAATTTTTTTCTCGTGTTTCTTTTGATATGTGTTAAACACATTGTTATGAACAACAAATGACGTAGCCTAGGTTAGCCCACTCCTTAGTAGTGTTGCTATACAGCCTGGAATGGACCTCATGTGACCTCGGTTGCACGACGACGCTATTACACAAATTAAAGTTTTATATGTATATTTACATTATTTAGATGGTATTGATCAATACAAGGCACTTTTAAGCTTAATAAAGTAGAAACCACCTTGATTGTAATCCAAATTAAAAAATACCTAAAATTAATAACTTGCTGGCATTTCCCCTTAATTTTTTCTTTAGTTTTTTTTATATGCGTTAAACACATGGTTATGAACAAAAAATGCCTATTCTAGGGTAGCCCACTCTTTAATAGTTTAGCTATGTATCCTGGAAGAACCTCATGTGACCTCGTTAGTAAAATTACCTAAAATTACTAACTGACTACTATAAAAACCTATTGGGTACCGGTACATTAATTATAAGTAATCGTTAAACTAATTATATTAAAACACTTTTATAAGAATCGTAATAAATCACTTAAAACAATAAGAAATTAGTCCTAATCCATTAGGAAATAAATTTAATATTTTTAAGGAGGCATTTTAGCGTAAATCCAATCTGGCAAATGGAAATTCGCTTACTCTGCAGGTTTGCAGGTTTTTATTGTAGTCAGATTTAGTAATTTTAGGTATTTTTTCATTTGGATTACAATCAAGGTGGTTTCTACTTTAATAAGCTTAAAAGTGCCTTGTATTGATCAATACCATCTAAATAATGTAAATATACATATAAAACTTTAATTTGTGTAATAGCGTCGTCGTGCAACCGAGGTCACATGAGGTCCATTCCAGGCTGTATAGCAACACTACTAAGGAGTGGGCTAGCCTAGGCTACGTCATTTGTTGTTCATAACAATGTGTTTAA